AGCACGCGGTGTCATCATACGCCGCAACTTCTTCATCTCGTTTGGAGTGACCGGAGCTTCCCCACTTGCAGCCTCAGAGTACTGACTTAACGGGTGCAATACAGCTCACGAGAACTGCAATCAAACGCAAAGCTGAGGATTCATATGGTGGCCAAGAGGCTGTGCAAGCTTTGGGGTCTGCTGCATCCACTGGTTTGGGCGCTTCTCCACCAACAGGCTCCTCGCCGCAATGGGGTCGATGTATTTTACATGTGATTCATGCAGCGTGGTAACACAACATTTCTTTAGTAAAAGCGCACTGGCTTGTTGAAACAATCGATGTGTTGGCACTTTGTCAAAGAACAAATTGAAAGAAGGAAGCAGATTCACACACTATATCATACCCTAGGCTCTCACAGGGTTGTCTCCATCCCAGCCCACCCAAGACCCTAGCCTGCTCCATGGCCTCAATGTCTTGGAAGGGGCTCGAGACCGAAGTGAGCTCCATTGCCTTGGAATAGGTGATGTTCTGCTCCAAAACATATATTGCAGAAACCTATGTCATTTGCAACACTTCCCTCAGTATTTGCAAGCTAAGCTGCCAAAGCAGCATAAGCAGGGTCACCGAGATGGGATATAAATTCAAGCATAGGATCAATAGAGTCCACAACCTGACATTCAGAATGCAAGAGGTATACGCACGTGCTACGTTGGAATTGGCAAAATATGGAATTGGAAACAAAAGGTTCAATGATAAGGGACCATATAGTCATCTTGAGTAAGTGCAGAAGGATCATCATGATAAGAATCCTCAACCTCTATTGGGTTTACCTCCTCACTGGCGGGTTCTGACCCGGCAGGTGGTTCAACAGGTGGTTCAACAGGTTGGGCAAGCTCAATATCAGCAGGAACGGTTTCCTCTTCTGGTCCAGCATCACCTGAATTTACCAGTGCGCGGACTGGTGTAGGGATAGGTGCCACAGGCACAGCCATAGCTGCGTTGCGTGGCTTGTCCTGGACCACAATTGGCGGGGCAAGCTCACCCCAGGCAGGCACAAGTTCATGTCAAGGACTGATTTCTAAGCTCACAAAACACAACAAGCCTGCAACAATGTCTCCAACTCGGCCAGTTCCCTCTGCAAGTCTTCATCGCTCTTGTCGTTTAAGGTATCCATACCTGTTTCCTCATTGACCAAGTCAACTCCCGCCATCAAAGTCCCTGTTGAGAACACACGGGAGGGAAGATCCATGCGCTCTATGACACCGCCCACGGAAACAAAATAGCGTTTCCTGGCCGTTTGATCAAAAAAGCAACAACCAGACCATTCATTCCAATTGGATATATGCACAAATTGCTAGAGTGGTGTTTCCCGTAGATTTCATATGAAAACCAAACACCTTCTCACCCATGTGTTTTTCATATGAAACCCCTTCCATGGTATGGTCCAAAGTGGCACCGGCCAAAACCGCCTCTAACCCGGGCAAAACCGCCGCTAACCCGGGCAAAACCGCCTCCCTACTTTTGTGTTTTCATATGCAAACTTGTTTGTTATATCTTTCATATGAAAACCGTTCATGCTTCACATATGGTTCACCAGCTCCTTTTTCATATGAAAACGGTTGTTTTCTTCACATATGCACTTTTCATATGAAACTCTACTTGTTACCCACACTAGGCCTATAGACAGAGAAGGCCTTCCATGACTATCTCATAGACTGATCATGTCTCGCTGAGAAATCATTTTCTTTGGTGGGCTGCATGAGTGATTTGCTCACATGAAGCCATGAAGCCTCAGCAATTGACGCATGCCCGAATTACTCAGAACACCTCCAGGTTCATGAATGCAGGTGGGACTCTGCACTCATATCCCAACTACTTCCAACTCATTAATGGATGCCCCACACCCACTCGGAAACACTGGAGGCTTTCGCCAGCGCCGGAGACTTTGAGAAAGTCTTCGAATTAAGGCAGGAAAAGCTTGGGAGCGCCTGCCGTTCAAATCTTTGTGGGCAAGACATCCCGGAAGCCAGGTGGAATGACCAGGCGCTTGGAACCCCTGGCATATTTCACGACCTCTCGTAAATCGGCCTCTTCATCCCAGAGAGTTGATTCAGCGCACCATTCCATAGCACCAAAAAGGTCACAAATAGATCCCTGTGGCACCTGGGTTGTCGCTTTCACGTTGTTTGGAGCGTTTTCTGTTTTCAATGACAGACATGGCAAAGGCTACCCATTCCAAGACAGTAACACATGACATTCGAGTTCCCAAAAAAAAGCGATGAGCACCTTGACAGGTAGTTTGCAGGGAGGAGCTGCACGGATCTTTGGCACCATTTTAACAAGTTTCGCGGCAAACTTGTACGTGTATTGCCTGGTTCTTGGCAGTGAGTCGTGTGTATGAGTCAACTAAAGCCCTTTGAGAACCACAAAAGCACAAAAGCTACAATATGGCGTCCGGTTTTGTATTGCTGGGAAAACATGTGAAAACAAACGGAGACGCAATGATTTCTGGAAAGGTGCTGGCTTTTCTTCAAGTTGGAATTACCTTTGAAGCGTTGTTTGCCTCTAGCATCTTTGTAGGTTGTCGTTGTTTTTTTCCGAGGTCTCTTTCTCCTCTGCAGTCAAAGGCCCAAGGTCCAAAGCACCAATCAAACTTGAAATGCTCCAGATCCAGGTTCGTTTCCAGGACATCGATGAATATTTCCGCATCCAAAAGGCAGATTTAAATGTCTTAGCAGGGGATTGGGCAAGCTCATCTTAGGCTTGGTTTCAAAGACACCCACAGTAAATAGCTTGCAGCTAAGGGTCAGGGATACCAAGAGAAAGGAGTCGTTCAGCAAACCAAATGTATCGAGGGTGTAGGGCGACCAAACTATTCATGGGGTTCTCCATCATGAAGGTTCCACCAGCTATCACCACCAGCCACATAAGAAGGACTGTCCTGATTATGTCTGACCATTTTGCAGGGTAAGCTCTGAAATCTATATACACGCATCAGAACAAGTGACCCTAGCTTCAGAGGCAACAAAGGCCTAACCTTTGTTGGCAATGTGACCCAAGCATCCGGCTGGTGAGCTTATTAGAACGCCTCACCGCAGGAAAGTCCTCATTCCCCAGTGGTGTGAGAATGCTGCGGGATGTGCTGGCTCTGTTGACAGGCACCCAACTGCTGCAAACAATGGCAAAGAAAGCTACCAGGCCCTCAAACTCTCCAGAGAGTACCAAGTGAATGCACAGTCTTAGCCAGCAGAAATGTGATTTGTGTGGGTTCTTAGTTACTGCTATACACGTGTAGCCAAAAATCAAATCGTTTCAAACAAACAAGTTGTAGCCCAGTAGCATCAGGCCAGCATTACTATTCAAATCCATTGGTGGCCTGGATCCCCGTTCTTTCCCCAAAGACTTCCCATACTCAATGTCAATGGCCGCAGCTTTAAACCCAGCAAATTTGGCCATGGCAGCAACGCGGCCCACACCGGCAAAGTATTCCAACACTTGATACGGTGGACCATCTCTTCCGGGTAGATCTAGCCACCAAGTCAGGAGCACCAGTAGAACCACGACCTCGGGATTCAAGATCTGGTTTTCTTTTAAACTCGCACACCAAAAAATAGGAGTAACGCATCGACCGAGTTAGTTACACCATGGCCACCATACATTTGACATCCACCCGCAGAAGCTCAGGATTCAACTACATTGCCTATACCGACATCAAGCTTCTCACTAGAATTCCTTCTCAGGCGCCTTCGGGGTCTTCAGCGCAATGAGCCGCTTGACAAAGATGTCGAACTGTGTTGGCGTCATAGCTCTTTGGTTCGTTGACAAAATTGTGGCTTAATGGAAGATATATGTCCTTCAGAGACTTCCACTGTTTTGTGTAAAACATGCTTGCATGCGTATGCGCAGCTTCCCATGATTTCGGGGCAAGCGGAAAGCCACTGACTGCTGCACAGCATTGCACAGCTCACGCACACATGCACTACAACCATGAAGGGCCTGCGCCCTTGTTTCTACAGTTGATGTCTCTAGTGACTAGTGACCTAAGGGCCTCAGGGTCTCCTCACAAGAACTCCCAAACCCTAACAGGCCAGCGCTACTTGCCAACTCTCTGTGCACACCAAACTTTGCCAGGTTGATGCAGCCCCTCCGCAAGCCATACAGCTTTGGCGCCATCGCCTGGCCCAGGCAATTGTCGGGGTGACTGGGAAGGATTGGGATGGTAGGGCCCTACGCTTGAGAAATGGGGAAACCGTTTAACAACGCTCCCAACTCGCAGCCGTGAATTGCAGTCCGGGTTGTTCTTTATGTTTCGTTTTTTCTTCCTGTCAGTGCTGCCACTGTAGAACTTCATTGGGTGACCCTCAAAGAAGAATACAATTTGATTTGATGACTTCATGCTCCATCCGCCACCTCTTGATTTCCCCCCCTCGGCCCTAGCCAAGCATATGCGTCAAAGTAACACACATGCATGCAGCTAAAATCAAATTGAATGATCACATGGATCCGCTGTCTTTCCAGCCCCTCCATGCCTCAATGATCGCACACTTCCAGTGAGACACTCATACCACCGGCACATACATCATATAGAGGGTATGTGAAAAGGTGGTCCCAGCCTAGCTTTTTTGAGACTACAGTGTTTGTTTAATGGTGCAAAAAAAGATGGTAAGAATGCCACATGCTACAGCCGATCTGTACACCCAGAGATTCAGTTCAACATCTCTATCAAGCAAGCCTCTTCCAGGAAGGGTTTGAGCTCAGCGTTGGTAATGCCTTTGAATTTCTCCAACAGGGCATCCGAGTCTCCTGATGGGTCCTTGTTCTTTTGGTAGTTGGCCTTTTCAAAGGCAGCGGTGCACCACTCCCACCACTCAACCTTGCATGGTTTAGAATGGAACACCTCTACACCTTATAAGGATAACACTGGCTATGGTAACTGCTCACCTAGCAAAGCAAATTCGAAGACCGCAAATTGTAATCACAACCCCTATCAAACAGCCACGCCGAAAGGAGAACACTAGTTTCAAAACCTTGCCTCTACAGGAGAAGTCTTGAAACCCACCTCCTCGAGAATTGGCTTGATAGCGCTCTCAAACACGTCCCGAACAGCAAGCCATCTCTCCTTTGCTGGCGATGTTTTGGGGCACGGGCGGCGCGCAAAGCTCTTCAAGGCGTTCCGAGGCGCAGCATCAGCACCAGTTGGCTCTTGCTGTTGACATTGCTCCTCAATGCCACCACGCTTGTCCCTGTCCTCCGCGTCAACCGTGGACTGCTTCTTGATGTTCTGGTCCTGGGCCGTCCAATGTTTTTCAAAGTCTTCTATACCTTGTGTTGAAACAGGTCCCCAAACAACTTTGTCATCATCCATGTCCTCCTCTGCCACCGCTGGAAGCGCCTCCGCCTTTCGCTTCGCCTGACGCTTGGGCTTTGGGGCCTTGGGCTGTTCCTCCTGCTCCTCGGTCTCCTCGGCCTTGATCTCCAAATCCTCAGCATCAGAGCACAGGTTGACCATCTCAGCATCCGCCTTCTCACACGCATGCCCTCGACCTGGTCGACCACGACGCTTGGCACATGCCCTCTTGGCCTGAGCCTTGGCTTTGGACTTAGCCTTTGCCTTGGCTTTCGCCTTGGGTTTTACCTCCTTCTTCAACTCGAATTGGCTTTTCCTGCTCACTGGCTCGGGTTCTGGAAGGTCTTCACCATCTTCTGCTCCAAACTGACCACTCTCTTCAGCCTTTGAAGAGCTTGGAGCCTCAGACTCAGTGACAGCGGAAGGCGCACCAGCATGGCCAGAGCTGGCTTGCTTGGCACAAACTGAAGCTTCTTCCTGTTCTTCACACGGGTCAGGGACCTCAGCACAAGGCATTGCATCATCAGAGTCAGCAGCAATGGCTTCGAGTGGGGCACCGGAATGACGTTCTTCGCCCTCAGCAATGGCAGAAGGTGCCAATGGTTCATCATCCACAATGGCAGTAGAACCCGGCTGGGAATGGGCAAGTGGATCAAAGACTTCATTTCCAATCACAGGCTCTGCTGACATTGAAAGAACTTCAGCCTCGGCATTGCCCTGAACAGAAGCAGAGCTCTCCAAATCCTCACTACTAGCATGTCCGGAATCCTTGTTGAAGAAGTCATACGGATCCTCAAGGTCAGAGCCAGGCGCAGGCAAGCTCTCCGCAATGTCCATGGATGGCTTCTCATCAAGTTGCTCACATTCCACCGGCGGCTGGCCAGCAATGATCCGCCCTGCAACTGACATATGGCCACCTTGCAAAGGCTCAGCTTCGCCTAGGGCAGAGGTCTATTTGAACATCCATGAAACTGTGTGCACCCCTTTGGTTTTAAACACCCATGCGCTCGTGAGCCCCCCCCACGCACAAACTTAAGACTATTTGAGCCAGCCAGCCTGCTGCATCAGCCCGCCCAAACTCTGTCTGCAAGGAGCGTTGCAGCACATGGTCGTCAGTCTCCTCAAAGCGCTTGACAGGTGGCAGTGCTGGTGGCTGGTATGACTCCGCCAAAGCTTTGAAAGACACTGCATCCAGCGGCTGTGTGTCGGCAGTATCGCCCACAGCTTTGGCAGCAGCCCTCTTGGCAAGAAGACACCTGCAGCTCAATACTTCCCCAGTGGCAATGCCACATGCGGCCCACTATTTTCTCTATGTTCTCAAAAGGCAAAATCTTGTAAGAGACTCAAACAAGAAACCGTACTTTTTTTCGCCCTCTCCATCATCTCAGCAACTGAGAGCCCAGAAGTCACAGGCGGTTGAGCCAGCCCTTCCTCTGCTTGTTTCTGAGGTGTTTCAAGAGAACTCACTGGCTCCATCATGACCAGTTGGCAGTCGCTATCATCATGGTTGAGCGAGGCATCTTCCACTTTCAGCTGGCTCTTCACCTGATGGGGGACTTCGCCTAGCCATTGTGAACCATACGCCCTGAAAACCCAACAGGTTTTGCACATAATTACTTTTGGGAGGTGCCATGTTGAAGGGGTCCCTTGTGAGGTGTCCATGAACACACAGCCAAACACATCATAAGGCCGCCCATCCCCTGCAAACGCTTCTTTGAAGCCAGCCCAAGAGAAAATTCAACATGTTAAGTTGATCGATGTTTGCTTGTTTGACACTCCCCACCTTTGAGTTTTTCCCAGGACTGGCCATGCCATAAGGATCCGACTTCACAGTCATGAAAGCACTGAAATCACTCTCCTCGTCACCGCTGTCCACAACGAAGATCTCAATGGCATGTTCTGGCTTCAACCTCACACTCCAAAAGGAATAGATCACTTCATAGAAGGGGTTCACGGCAGCATCCTGGGAGTGGGCACGCCAACTTCCAACCCGGACACCATTTTCAAAACTGAAAAGAATGTAAAAGACAAAAAAAAACACAAAGACCACATACAAAGGAGCTAAGGCTCTCGTCGGATCGGGCTTGAGGAAGATTCTTTGTCTGCTCCAGATCTCCGAACCCCGTAGCTGAACAACTTCTTCAACCCCCAGGCATCTGCATGGAGAATTGCAGGGTCGTTTGGAAGCTGAAAGATTGCACGTAGAGCTGCGACCTGAACAGGGGCATGTTGCGCATGTTGGCCCCTAACCCTTAAACCTTCAACACATTTTTCACATTAATCAACATCAACCAGTGATAAAATATTATGGACCATGATGGACCCAAATCGGCTGATGTAATATGGTGACATGAATATACGAATAAGCGCAACCAATCCATGGAGCCACATGCACTCCCCACCTCCTTCCTCACTGCATGAACACTAGGACTCTTAGGCCCAGATTGCTTGGGGCACCAATCCTCTGCCAAAATACGAAGGGCGTGGATGTTCAAGGATATGGAAGCCATGGTCGGCTTTCCAACGAGCTCAGGTTTAGGCCACACAACGAGCATACCCTTGGATCGGATCCGGTTTCGGATATGGCGATTGGCCTCCCATTTCTCGGCTAGAGTCACGGGTCCTTCTTCAATGGTCTCCATCTCCAGCCGCAGGTCGCTCGCTGAGTGCTGATCGAGCTGCAATGGATGAAAAACGGCTTCGGCAATCAAAGCTGTTTGTCATCGGCATGCAGCTCACAGTCTTAGAAGGTGGTACATGCACCCACGTCTTCCAGTGGTATACTTATTTTGCCTTTAGGTTAGGAAACATGCCTACTGCAGGGCATAGTTTGCATTGGCACATGCTAACTTTGGCCAGGCTAGCCTGAATGACAAGAATGATCACGAATAGCACCCAGTGGAGACACCTGCCAAGCCGTTGAGTAGTAGCTTGCGAACTTGAGAATCTTGAGCGGAGCATATATCAAATAGTTTTAGAATTATTGTTTCAAAGAAGCGCTTGCAAAGATCTGCTCCACATGATTCTCTCAAAGACATTCCATGGTTTCAGCTTGAGGGAAGAAAAGCAGGCTTGCATCAGGTGAGAGCCCATGCCTCCCAACCTTCATGGAGTCGCTGCTTCACCACGCATGGCGGCCAATAGAGTTTTTTGTTTTGTTCAAAAAGCTGGTCCTACAATATCCTATGAAGTGTTCGGTGCGTATTACCACTGTAGTAGTGGTTTGGTTGATGCATGGCTGCAAGCACCCTTTGAAACTTGGGAGTGAAGCAGCGATTGTTCAACCTGACATTAGCTCATGTGGGATTTGGGATCACGTCGAACCAGAGTGGCTGGATGCAGCCTGGCAGGCGGCGAAGAAGGGATGGGATCGGATCGGATCATTCTACCCAATAAAAGGGCCATCAGTGGTCACATTCCGGTTGAAATGTGCTTTTTTGCAAATCTTGCCTCTAGGCAAAAATTCATCCTTCTTGATTCCAAAGGCATTTATTTTCTTAAAGGCAAAATAAGTACTACCACTGGAAGACGCAGGTATATA